GGTCGCGATGACGAGAAGGAAAAATTCAGATGAAAAGTCGGGTGGAGGTCCATGCTGCGAAGGGCTCGATCGAGGAATAACCTCTATTTAGTGGAGGTTTTCAGGTATGCAACATTTTTTTTTATTCCTAAAAAAAATATTTTAAAAACTAGAATAAATTTGCTTCCAATTTGTCAAAATTCCAATCGAGTGCACGAGGTTTTTGCTCGAGTGCACGAATGTTGAAAGTCTGTTAGTGTGCAAACTACCAGACGGATTCCTTTGTTCAGATCCATCGTAGTATCGTGTAAACCATAAATTTTAACCATACGTTGTGGCCGGCCAATTTAAAGTAAAAGGACAATTATTTATCGGACCTTTATAAGCCTACATTGTGAATTTCAGATCAAGCCAACAGCATGGATGAACACATTCAGTATCTCGAGACACTTTGTCGTCTTTATAGCACAAATCTGCCACGGACCTGGGTCAGTGCTACAAACAAAGAATCTTTTAAATCGGAGCTCTGGATGAAATTTCGAATCAATGTCGATCTTCACATCAGAGAGATTCATTCAGCCAAGGCGAATGCACACTAAAAAATAATTTCAGGAAACCACGGATCTAACACATAAATGTGATTATCCAGCGAGTAAGTTCTCCTTCGGGCAAACATAAAACAAAGAGGTATTCGTTCACTGAGCTCTCACATCTTCAGGTATCGTATCCGGGAAATGTGCGATAAGAGCGGCATGAAGATGAAAATAAAGAAATCACATTGGTGGAAAGCCTTGCCGAAGTGTCTCTATTACAGCATTCCGGAAACAAAGGTTGGAGTTTAACTACACGCACTGATGAGAGTGAAATTTTCGTCTAAAACCACAAGGGACTTGTCTGTAATTGTGGAACTCGTTCAGAAACACCGCTCGTGCTTTCACATTTTGCAGTGATTACCTAAACAAAATTTCTATACAGGGTGTTCAAATCAAAGGGTAATTGTAAAGGACATATTATTGCTGACTAAAAGCTGTAGGACCGAATTTGTAGTGTTCTGAGACCTAGATTCTCCCGCGAATCGATCAATAGCGCGCAAAATACCTTGAATGATTCTCTTGCATTGAATTCGATCATGTGTATTCGTCTTGATATAGATTGTGACTACTTGATTTTATTTTATCCCACTCATGTATTTATTGGCGTTTATTTTCCAGGTATCATAATTTCAAGATCAAAGCTCCACGTGGAACACCGCTTGTTATTCAAAGTGAAGACGACAACACGTATGACTCGCATTCACTGGCTTGTCTTCTACGAGAAGTCCAGATTTTCAGCAAATCGCAGAGAAAGACATATACTTTAGGAGATGTCAAAGGGTAGCAGATCGGCACGGTTCAGCACTTTCTAAACATACAGCTGCATGCTTTGCTTCGATGTGGCAAAATAACCAGGAATTGAAGGGTAAGTACTGTTTTCTTGCTTTACTGTTACTTTTTCGTAAAGGCTTGATGGACTGAAATTGATAATGTCTATTTAAAAATCGGAGAGAAGCAAGATATTGTCTTTCCTCGACCTATACTGGAGAGAAATGAAATTGTCCCGATTCTGCGATCTCACACCTCACTCGTCCCAATTGTTATCAGTGCGCGTTATTTGGTTCAACCTTATTTAATTGGTTTTATTGTAGCACAAAATAGGGAAATCAACGGAAAATGGACACTAACATCGAGGTCAAGCTCTACCCAGAAGTTCTCCAGATACAAACAGGCTGGCGGAGGAGCTTTTATTCCTGTGACGCTCTTGGTGGAAGGACCACAGCGTTACAAAGAATTCGTGCTAGAAAGAATCCGCTTTACTCTTCCAGAATGCGAGAGCGTCGATGACACGCATGTTGAATGTTTGAAATAAACGAATATTTTTAATGGTATCTTACGTCCAGTCCTTATTAGCGAATTTTGTTTCTGCTTACTACCGCATTACAACATGGCCGCCACAAAAAAAAAAATAAATTTAGCTTCTTCTTGTTTCCAGCACCTATCGGCCAAATTTGCTTTGTTTTGGTTTTGATCTCACCCAATCACAAAGCTCGAAACCGATATCCAGAAATGGTTATGGCCCGAACTGCTCTATGCAATCTACTGAACAACACTACTACCGTGAGACTGAAGAACAAAACTCTAATGGACGCAAACTGATGGTGAAGAAAGACGCTATGTTTGATTCACTTGATGCCAGGGAACGTAGCTACGATAACAGTGCGAAAGGAATTTCACGATCAGAAAGGTGAATCTTATGTTTTTTTTCATTGTAGTTGTATGGATATTCTTTTTTAAGAAATACATGATCCAAAATCCTGTGTTTTTTGCGTATAATGTTGTTATGCTAAGTATTGCTTACGCAATTGTCTTGTCACAGGCGGCCCAAGCTCGCGCCTCGAGAAAAAACCAACGATTAATTCATGAACGCGTCACGTGTTGTGTGACGAGAGGAACCGTTGAAAATTTGAACGCGTTATAAGGAATAGTATGGGGAACGAAATATGGTCGATTTACAACGATGAATATTTCGAAATATGAACATTTTTCTCATAAAATCAATAAAACTTACCCTGTGTAACCGTTGTAGTTTCTGGAGATTTCTGCCGTTTTAAGCTTGCTTTAACATCACTGTTATTCACGTCATCTACTTTCATTACGTTGGTAAAATCTATACAGACATCACACCAAGCAACTCGCACGCATAGTAAGAAGACTATATTAAAGGCTTGAAATTATATTACGGTCGATTTTCATCAAGAAATGGGCCAGGAATTTTCCACAATAGTGCAAATAATCGTGAAGGCTGATCGCGAAAAAGCGATTGCGTGACGCTCGGTAAGCTGTAGGATGACATGTTATTATATACCAGACGTAAAAACTCTTCAGATTCTCAGTCTGCATTTTGTATCCACTCTGAAGTCTGCAGTCTATATTTTGTATCCGGTCTGCAGTCTATATTTTGTATCCGGTCTGCAGTCTATATTTTGTATCCGGTCTGCAGTCTGCTGTCTGCATTTTGTACTAACAGGTGTCCGTGGCATCAATACAGTTTATTTTTGGTTACATTTATTCGCACAACACACATAATCTACCACAAAATACCTGTGTGTGAGGTAATTCGACATTTTCGTTCTTTCCCACGTTAATACTCTTCTTTTCTTTTGTAATAATGTAGACCACTTACAATGTTTCAAGTAATCCACCCACCCTACAAAAAATAACTCTTGCATGCATAGCGTGCCTATGTTTTGAAGTAGGCGTATGCCCTTGGCCAGACTTGAGCTCACTATTTCAGTATACTAGTCCGACACCCGTAATATCACTACACTTGATTCCAAGGATCCTGATCGTGTAGATCAGCCGACTTCAACATGTTTAAAATGAAATACAAGTATAACAGTGTATTTTCAGAGGATTTTGGATTGCTCAAATTCCCATGAAAAAAGGCGCAGCACTCGGAATCTGGATGATATGCTCGCGATTTGAAGTATATGTTTTTAGTTACGTCGAGTAGTCCTCTATGAAGGTTGATCAATTTTTTTTTTAAAGATGACAACCAGAGGTGAGATTTCTCTTCGGGATATTGCTCATAAGATAACCTTCTTTCAAAGCTTCCCAAATTTCATTTGTCTGAAACGTTTGTTGTTTAGAACATAAGATGTAAACATCGCAAAATTATGCAATATCTGATTTTGTGCTTTGTTCCCGAATTGCCCCTATGGGAAGTAGAGGCAGGCCGCAGAGATTTTAGAAACAGATTGTCACTAAAATTATGTAAACAATCTGCAACAATCCAAAAAATGCCAATGACATAGCCACAAGTTTAAGTTTTCTTTGGTAGTCCTTTTCTTCATGGTCAACAAGTTCAAAAGAGACAGAAAGAGTAAAACCACAATCAATCCATTGTGGTGACTTCTGCCTGCACACTTAACTTTTGAGGGTTTCCTCAGAGCGTCCATTGAAGTTTAAACTTTATAAGACAATTTTAAAATAAAAGCTCTACTTAAAATTGAATAAATTGGAGGGGTGTTTGATAATGAAGATTCCTATGATCTCAAAAGTAAAATAGGATTCCACTGAAAAAAGGTAGATATTAACATTCCCCTTCTGTCTGAATTTTTGAATTATTCAACTCTCTGCTTCAGTTAGAAGACAAGCAACATCATGTTATTAATCATTGTTCCAACCAAGTAATGATTTATACCCATATATTATTACCCGCTAAATATAAAACAAGTTTTGGAACATGCAGATGTTCTTTAGCTGTTCATTCATTTTAATCAATTAATTAATTGGTTGATTGATGGGCCCTAAACATCACAATTAATACAATTCTTCCACATATGTAAGGGAAAAAGGACAATCTTAGGCTAGCCCCAAAAGAAGGACTTTTCAATAAAATGTACAAAAGAAATTGAAAATTGCAGCAGTAATTCACTTTCTTATTCTCCTTTTTGTCCAATGTAGTAATTTTAATTTATTCAAACTGCTACACAAACCTTTTTATTTTCTAAATTTCACTGCCTATTATTTCTTCCTTAGATTTATCCTTTTCCATACTCTCTATTCCTATCAATCATTACCAGTATCAAACAGTGAATCAGTATATGAACATTATGGGGAAAATGTGGCAATTTTGACATTGTCCTCACATGGAAATTTCCGGAACATGTAAAAGTTGCCATGCAATGGAAAGAGTGAGAATATTGTTATCCTTTCCTTGCAATGTTGTCACATGCCTTTTACAACAACCATAAAAATAGCTGTGAAGAAAACCATAGGAATTTTACCTAAAGCCTTAACATGGTTTTCAAAATTACTCCGCACATGTCAATTACATTCCCACTAACGAATTAAAATGTATTATATTTTTGTTTAATCA